TTTAGAGAAGTTGAATCAGTGGTAGATGATTTGAGTGTGAAAAGCAGTATGTAAGTAGGATCAAAAGGATTTTTTTTTCCTAAAAAAAAATTGTATTTATTAAGTTTGAACCCAAAATTCTCCAAGAAGCTTATATTTTTCTCCCATTCTTATGAATTGAGGATGATACTTAAGAGATACCAGTTAGTTTAAATCACGACGAAATTTATGTTTGAGCAAATCCTGGATCAAAGAATATGCTATAGATTAGTGATTAATATCTCATAGACAATATTGGATAAAACAACTGTCAAGAAATAAAAACTCAAAGCATTATTAAGGTCTGTAGAATCTGTTGTGAACTTTTTGGATTAAGTTACTTGATGAGCCTAATGGACCTTGAAGTCCAGCAGGGTAAAATCCTTCCATTAAGATACCCACAAATGTAGTCAGCCATAAATACACGCACAAATATACAGGTAGTCCTTGACTTATGATCACAATAGAGCACAACATTTCCATTGCTAAGCAAGTTAAGTGAGTTTTGCCCCATTTTACAACCTTTCTTGCCACAGTTGTTAAGTGAATCACTGCAGTTGTTAAGTTAGTAACACGTTTGTTAAGTGAAACTGGCTTCCCCATTGACTTTGCTTATCAGAAAGTCGCAAAAGGGGATCACACATGACCCTGGGACACTGCAGTCATCATAAATACATGCCAGTTGTCAAGTGTCCAAATTCTGATCACATGACCACAGGATGCTGCAACAGTTGTAAGTATGAAAAATGGTCATAAGTCACTTTTTTCAGTGCAGTGGTAACTTTGAATGGTCACTAAATGAATGGTTGTAAGTCAAGGACTACTTGTATGTGCACAATAGCTATTTCGTCAGTGTACATTTAGACAATTTACTAAATGCCAACTTTTAAAACAGTATGCAATATTACTAAAAAAAAAAGTTTACTGACAAATTCAGAATAACAGAATAGCTGTACTTTGGAAAATAGGTTGACTCCCTCTTCTTTGTAGCAGCCCCTCAAATATTGGAAGACTACTATCATGTTACCCCTAGTCCTGATAGCAGTGTCCCAATATTTGAGGAACTGCCACAAAGAAGAGGGGGTCCAAAATTTGACAATCCAAAATTTAGACTGTTCAAATTTGACAATCTAAAATTTTTCCTCAAAGAAAGGAAAATTGTAATATGAAAAGAAATTGTAATCTGAGCCAGTGAAGACAACTTTTGATATCAATACCAATGTATTTTTGAATGCTATTTGTGTGTGTGTGTGTGTGTGTATGTGTGTGTGTGTGTGTGTGTGTGTGTGAGAGAGAGAGAGAGAGAGAGAGAGAGAGAGAGAACAAGAGGAGTGCTGTTTTGTTGCTATAGAGGATATAGATATAGGAATAGAATAGAATAGAGTAGAGTAGAGTAGAGTAGAGTAGAGTAGAATAGAATAGAATAGATAGAATAGAATAGAATAGAATAGAATAGAATAGAATAGAATAGAATAGAATAGAATAGAATAGAATAGAATAGAATGACAGAGTTGGGAGGAACCTTGGAGGTCTTCTACACCAGTGTTTCCCAAACTTGACAATTTTAAGGCATGTGGACTTCAACTCCCAGAATTCCACAGCCAGCAATGCTGGCTGTGGAATTCTGGGAGTTGAAGTCCACATGCCTTAAAATTGTCAAGTTTGGGAAACACTGTCCTACACCAACCCCCTGTTCAGGCAGGCAACCCTATACCATTTCAAACAAATGTTTTGTCCAATCCCTTCTTAAAAACCTCTAGTGTTGGAGGACCCACAACTTCTGGAGAAAAGTCGTCCCACTGATTTTTGTCAGATTTCTCCTTAATTCTAGGTCAGTGGTGGTGAACCTATGGCACGGGTGCCAGAGGCGGCACTCAGAGCCTTCTCTGTGAGCATGCGCGCTGTCGCCCCAGTCCTAGGCCTTCAGCTTGGTTTTATAAAACCTTTTTGCTTTAGGCCTCCGCCGCCGGGTGCAAAAAACAATCAGTCAGTCAATTTCAACTTCTCGCGGAAAAAAAAGATCTTGCAAAGTTGGAATTGATTGATTGAACTTTTTAGTCCCACCCAGTCTGTTACCACTGCAGCCACACCCACCCAATGGGCCACAACCACCCAATGGGCCACACCCACCCGGCACCCAACAATGCATAAGTGAGTTTTGGGTTGCAGTTTGGGCACTCAGTCTCTAAAAGGTTCGCCATCACTGTTCTAGGTTGTTTCTCTGCTTGATTAGTTTCCATCCATTGCTTCTTGATTTAAAGATAGAGATGATAGAAATAGAGATAGAGAGATAGAGATGATAGAGATAGAGATGATAGAGATACAGATACAGATAGAGATGACATAGAGCAGTGGTTCTCAACCTTTTTAATGCCGCGACCCCCAACCGGTCGTAAGTCGAGGACTAAACCAGTCGTAAGTTGAGGACTAAATCGGTCATAAGTCGAGGTCTACCCAACCGGTCGTAAGTCGAGGACTTTCCCTGCCCGGGAGCACCGCACATGCGTGGTGCCGCCCCCTGCGCCGGCCAAGGCATAGCTGACAAGCGGCAGAGATGGAGCAGGCCGACCACCGGCTGGGCCACCAGCTGGCCCAGTCCAAGGGAGGTAAGGCACCCACTGGGCCCCATGTGCACCAGCAACCCTCCCTGCACCTGTAGTTAGTAGTTGCTCAGCAGGGAGGGGTAGAAACTTCCAGACAGCTTGCCTTCGCTGAAGACAACTTGCAGCACCGTTTGCAGAATGGGACTTTTGGTGGGCTCAGCAGGGCAGAGACAGCCTGGACAATTTCTATTGGCTTTTGAAAGCCAATAGAATTAGACTCTATTCAAGAGAGTCTATTCTATTGGCTTTCAAAAGCCAATAGAATAAAAGGGAGTAGCACAGCTAAGAAAAAAGGGGAAAAATGGCGGACTGCATTGTTTGGCGACCCCCATGAAATGGTCGTTCAACCCCAAATGGAGTCCCGACCCACAGGTTGAGAACCGCTGACATAGAGATAGAGATGATAGATAGAGACAATAGAGATATAGAGACAGAGATGATAGAGATAGAGACTACATAGATAGAGATGACATTGAGATAGAGATAATAGAGATAGAGATAAATACACTGTCAATATAGATTTAAAACTTCCAAAACAGATAAGGGATAGGCAAAAGCACATTTATGTATTATCCATGAAATACAGCAAATTGCTTTCTGAGCCCTGGCTTCTATTGTCAAAACGTGATTATTCATAATTCTCCAATCTGAAATGTACAATCATGATAGGTTTATTTTTTTATAACAATTCTGCAGCGTGGTTGACTATTCTGCCAGGCTGAAGAGATGAAGGAGCTCCTGAATGGATCTGTGACTGGAATCCAAATGGTCGTGGAACAAAATGCCAAAGAAAATTCAAGGTAGTGGGGAAACTATATGGCAAGAAATCAGAGCAAAAATAAAACCAAGCAGTTCTTCAATAGAAGCTAGATGCTAATGGTCTAATGATGCTAATGATCACTCTTACAGCTGATTCTGGTGACTCTCCCCAGTTTGCCATTCTGTCATGAATGGTGTTCAAGGATGAGAAAATTTCCAAGGTCAGACAAGGCATTGGGTCTCAGCAGTGGTGGGATTCAAATATGTGAACAACTGGTTCTCTATGTGGATGTCGCTTCCAGAAGTCCATTCTGGGCTTGGGCAACAAAAAATTAGCTACCAGTTCTGCCAAAGTGGTGCAAACTGGCTGAATCCCACCCCTGGGTCTCAGATTCTGAAGTTCTGTTCAGATATAACACTTGGTTGGATCCAGAGCTGAAAAATGAGACCTGTCACAGCCAAAGGAATACCTCGGATGCTACCGAGCCTCCTTCAGTGAATTATATTCTAAATTTTTATTTACTTATTTTTCAAATTTAGATACTGCCCATCTCAGAATAATTCCCAACAGTATGTTTGCTATGAGCAGGAATAAGACCCATTTTTTAGATGATCTTGCCAAGAAATTGGTGGGGAGCTGCTTTTTGTTTGCAGAAATGTATCATTCCAAGCTTCACAGGTCTGAATGTTCGAACAGCTACAAATATATTTCTTGTAATAAGTGAACAAATTGCAAAAGAGGTCACTTACCAGTGAGAAGAATCATGTAAAATGGTAAACTAAATTAGTTATGTTCATGCAAGGAGGTTTGCTATTTGTTTGAGGGAAACAAAATCATGAGGAATCATTCATACACAGAAGCATATACTTGGCCCTAAGTGAAATTCCTCTTGTTATACTGTGTTCAGAGAAGTGTTTACATAAGAAAGGACAATTAAGTGTAGGGTGTTCTCTAACTTGGTTACTTTCTTGCAGATGTTTCATTGCCAAACTAGCTAACATCGTCACTGCTAGTAAGGAATGGTGTTCAAAACCATTCAAAAAAGAAAATAAAAAAAGCTAAAAAGGAAACAAAAGACCAAAAAACCTCACCAGCAATCAACACCCAGATGAGCAGAGATTAATACCAAGATTCACATTAGACCAACAATCAAGAAGCTCCAATCAAGGAACTACCAAATTAGATGAACAAGTTAATAATAAGTAGCCTAATCAAGAACCTCCAAGACCACTCCCGCCAATACTGACAGGGCAAGCAACTAGTATATATAATGAGAGCAAACCCCATTCCCTACCTAGTTTGGTAATGAAACGTCTGCAAGAAAACAATTAACCTCATAGAGCAGAGTTCCCCAGGCTTTCAGAGTTGGCGGCCTGGAGCAGGGAGAGGGGGGAAAGAAGGAATGGTTTTTTGTGTGGGGGGGGTTGAATGCATGTGTGTGCACATGCATGTGCACAAACATCCCTTGCTCATGCACATGGGGCCATGAGCACTTGTGTGCATGGGGCTATGAACGTCCATGACGCTCACGGTGACTCACACACAAGAGGGGATCAGAGACCCCTCAGCTCCAAATATTTTCTTCTATGGGAAAGAGCAATTAAGTTTTGGTCACTTACGTCCACAGTAAGCATGGTAGCAGACACTGGGCTTGGCTAGATGGTAGACATAATAACCTCCTGGACATGCCTTGATTTCAACAGTTGTATTCCAGAGGCAGCAGTTTCCACTGAAAGTTGCACAGGCCTGCCTTTGGACAATGCCATCTGATTCTTGAGGATGGCTGCCATTCAGCCAGATTGGGGCATGGGTGCCACAGTGGTTCTCAGGAATGCAGAAGGTAGGCATGGCATCCCCGGCCATCCCTGTAAAGCGATACCATTCCCCATCCACGTGACTGTCACATTCAGGCTGATCGGTAGAGTCATTGAACTGGAATTCCGTGTTCCTCCAAGGCTCATTCAGACTAATGTAGGCAGAACAAGGATCAAGAGCTGGAATACAGGAAGAGAAAATCTAGTCATTATCCGTAGCAGGATGATACTGGAACCCTGTAGCAATAAGGAGGAAGAGATAAATAAATGTTCGATTGCAGGAATAGAACCAGCCAATTGTTGAATTCTTGGGGGCACTTTACTTTCTACACAACTACACAAGATTACATATTTATCCATAGTCAAGCTTCATGGTCAGGTGGGGCTCTCTCACAATAATTTGCTGTATTTTCCTTATAAAACATTTACTAACATAAAGTCATATATTTGGGAAAGGCCACTAAAGCCAATCTTCTGCCCAGTACATGAATTTGATCATAACCAATTATGGGAAAGCTCACCATTTCTCTAGACCAGGGGTGTCAAACTTGCAATGTCATGTAATGTGTCACGACGTATCGTGACTTTTTTTCCATTGCCAACCATGGGGTGGGCGTGGTTTTGGCATGATGCATCGGGCCCATGGGCTGGCAGTTTGACACCCCTACTCTAGGCAGTTGGTTCTGTTGTTAAACCAAGTAGTCCTATTTAAATATTTTCAGCGGGATCTGCTTTTCTACAATATTACTTGGCTTGAACTCTCTGTGATACAGACTTAACTCATGGCCTTTTTCTATTATTCAAGTATGTCTTCCTGAGGCTAAATAAACCCAGTCCCCTCAATCTTTCATTCTGGAATCTATTTTCTAGTCTGAAAATCACTTGTTGCCTTATGGGGAATCTGGATGTATCACTACATTCAATATCCATAAGATGCAGTTTTACATTATGGGGCTTGTAGGGTTGATTTTTCTTTTACTTAAGGCCAGACGATCCTTGAGGACTTTCTAACTCCACAATTCACAATTCTGTGATAGTTTATTGTAGGTTAATTGAGGTCCACAAGAAATTATCTTGATAGGGAATCTTGCCTGCAAGTTCAACATTCTCAGCAATCTCTTACGTATCTTAACCAGCTGCAGGCTCTGCCAAATCAGCCTGGTTCATTTGTAGAAAATACGTCCAATACTAACTTGAAGAAATAATTACAGATTTCTACTGTAATAAGAGAAAAATGAAAAGTCCAGGCCATCTTCTACTGAGATCATATGTGGAAAGACTTAATAAAAACAGGGTTTCTTCCTCCTTCTACGTATCTACAACATTTAACATTCAAATAGTACCTGAAACCCCAAATCCAACTAAGTTTCAAGATTCCTTTAAAAGGAAAAGATGGAAAACAGATGCATATTGGCAATATATCATTTATTTATTCAGGCTTTCCTCACTTGTTGCGATGCAACTGAAAGTCCCACTAGTGTGACCAATGGGAAATTGTGAGAACTATAACTACAACAGCCAACATTGATAGATGGCTTGGGGAAAACATATTTAATCAATAATTGAGAGTGAGAATGTCTCTGGGAAGAAGGAAGAACTTTCCTATTTCTTATAAAGAGAGACAAAGCAAAGCCTTTTCTTGCTTGGCTGTGTGATTAGGATGTCTTCTCAGTTTCCTATGGTAGTAATTGAGGACAGCTCTGTCAAGAAGGGCTGCTTGTAACTAGCAAAGGAAGGACTAATCTGATTGATGCATAAAGCATGCCAGAGGATTTTTCTTTTGCCATCAAAAGAAAGTTGTGTTATATGAGCCCATTAATCTTCTATCAGTAAGCAAAAGAAGGAGATTTTTTTCTCTGATCTGTAGGTCTGGAGCAAAACAGGGTATTTGTGTCAGTGTTGACTCCTGGCGAATGCCTGCACAAGTCCATGCAGTTTTCTTGGCAAGATTTTGGAAGCGGTTTACCATTGCCTGCTTCCTGGGGAAACTGAGAGTGAATGATTGGCTCAAGGTGCCCCAGTTGGCTTTGTATCCAAGGCAGGACTAGAATTTACAATCTCCTTGTTTCCAGCCTGCAACCTTAATTATTAACTGCCCTGCCTAACCAAACTGGCTCTCTTATATTCAGCATATATATGAGGAATTCCTTGGGGCTTCAGAGCCTAGCTGACAGGAGACCCCTACATTAGAGAACACTGCTTGATCAGAAGGACTCAGAGCTTGTCCACTCTGCCTGATCACTCTGGACCTTAGAAACAGCCATAGATGGACCATCCCTCAAATAACCAAGCCCTTCGTGGCTTCATAGTGATAACCAGCATCTTGAAGTGCCAACTGGTAATAAGTGCAGCTTGCAAAACATTTGTGGTCACAGGGGCATAACAAATCATGCCCAACACTTATTTTGCTTATCCTTCATTTTAATGGAAACAAATACATCCCAAAAGATTTGCAGACAGGTAGTAGGAAAGCTAGTGTTATTCTGCAAAGAAGATGTTTTTCTTTTCCTTTTTTTTAAACAAGACATAACCAAATGGGAATGTGAAAATTAGTACCTGCTTAAATAGGCTTAAAAGGGAGACAAGACAAAATCTTAGCAATTTTGAACAGCTTGCTTTCTGAAGTTGTGGGTGATCCATCAGTGGAGGTTTTTAAGAAGAGACTGGAGAGCCACTTGTCTGGAATGGTATCTGCCAGGGTCTCCTGCCTGAGCAGGGGGTTGGACTAGAAGACTTCCAAGGTCTCTTCCAACTCTTATTATTCTGTTATTCTGACTGATACCAGAGAGCTAGAGATTCCCAATTCATGCAAACAAAGAATCCAGGTTCTACATTCCTAATGAAAGAGTCAGTGTTCTGTGTCATTTGACCATAATGAGCCATCTTCAAACCCTGATCCTTGCCATCATGCTTTCCTTTCCAGCTCTCTCTGTCCGCCTTTTTGCAATTCAGATCTAGGAGTTGCTGCCTTTGAACAATTCTCAGATCTTGATTATCCAACAACCTGTCACCTGCAATGCAAGATTTCAGATGAGCAAAAGACATCTCTGTCAACCTCCTCCCAGCAAACAGAATTTCAGAAAACTCCCAAGATTTAAAGTGAAGACTGCAAAAGAGAATATGATAAGAACATTCATTACACTTTTCATCGGTGATGCATCTAATTCACTGCAGCTTCCAAATTTGCCCTTTATATTTGTGCATATATTTAACACCTGATTAAACACCAGGTAATCCCAGCTGACTGTAGGAGTAAAGCAGGATTTATTATTAACCTTCTTGGGACTGAAACAAATGGATTGTTTTCTTTCTTCTTTTGCTAAATAAGTCAGTTTCTTTAATTTGGTACATCAAAATGAAGCAAAAAACATTTTCCTCCCTCTTAGAATTTCATTGGCCGTTGGGCTGCCTTCGACTCCTATATTATCCAACCTGAATTTTAGGTACAGTGAAATATCGATGTAAATGCCTTGTTACTTAATGAGAAAATACTGTGATGGCTAGCAATTTATTGTGGGTTCATTTGCTTATGAATATAGATTGTGGAGTGTGTGCAATTCATCACATTCTTTGTTTCCAATATTCAGACAATACATGCCGGTTGCTAGAGTCAAAATAAAAATACATGATTTAAATTTAAACACATGATTATGTGGGCCAGGATGAGAATTGAACTCAATACACATGATATGTGAGTGGTATGGCATTTGTGTTATGTGTGATGATTTTAAGTTTATGGGTGTCTTGTTTTACTTTTCTATGTTGTAGTTCTATGAGTTCAGCAGTTACATAAATCTCACCGAATGAATGTATATGTTTGTCAATGGCTGTTTTCATGCAACTCTTAATCATGATTTACTTAATTTAAAACAATTTTCTGAGGTTGCAATCAACCATATGAACTAAGTTTGGGTATCATACTAGTGGAGGAATATGTCAAGGTTTCCGGGCCCCAAGGCAAAATATCAGATGGAATCTCTGTGTTAATTTTAGGAATCAGCTTATACTCTAATGGTCAATTTCAAGGGATCAGATTTGTTAGTGCCTGGGATTTGCGCAGACGCTTTTTTTGAGGAGAAGCTGCAGTTATGCAATTCAGGACATTCTCTTGGGGATGGATCGATGCCACTAAGTTGTGTCAGTACTAAGTTATCAGATATAGGCAGTGCTTTTTTTGTTAAAAAAAAAAAGGTGCAGGAACTCACACACGTCATACAACCCACCTTGCCTACCCTAAAAGGTTCCATCCAAAAAAGGTGCCGGAACTCCGTTCTGGGTGTTCTATGACAAAAAAAGCCCTGGATATAGGTTGTAAGTATCCAGATGACCACAAGATGATAGCAAAGAGGAGGGTTGTATCTCTTTGCTGCCAACTAGTGGTCAGTCTAGTCGGTATGCACTGAGTGTGGCCACTCTGCTCACTCACAGCACCTCCTGCATGTCATTCTGTCCAACCCAGTCCACCCTTCTAGGCAATTTGGCTCCTCTATGGATGCCTTTTGACCCTGTAGCTGCATATCAGAAAGAGGTTGGTTTGGTTTAAAGGCTGAAAGTCTGACTAAGAGCCTCTGGGTTAGAAAATAACTATCACTGCTATCTTAATGCATTTACACCACTGCTTGCATGGCTAAGGGTATCTGATTTGGGTTACAAGAATTCAAGTAGACATTTGTAAAAGTAAACATCCAGATTTTGCTGTCCAGATTAAGTACCTTCATGCCAGACTAAACTATGATTGACTGGTCTAGAATTTCATAGATCTTTTCTACCATTACATTCTTAAAAATTGAATTTCTTCTGTGGTTGCACAGAATTTAGAATAATTAATTTCACCCTGTTAATATGATAGTATTATGGATTATGGCTCATATAATTATGGCTCATAACACTTTTCCACAAACGTCTGAATGGACTGATCTTGGAAGATGGATTGTTGCCACTGGAATTTATCAATACTAATCTCCCTTTTAATTATTTTTAATTGTAGTTATATTTGGGACACATTATGTGAAGACCAAGCTCCCTTGAGAAGTCTATAATTCTGGGAAAGGCAGAAGAAAAGAAGAGGATGACCAGTAGCAAGCTGCACAGTGATGAATACACCATTGGAAGACTTGAAGGACCAGGCTGGGAACTGTTCATCCTGGTGAAGATCTAGCTATATGGCTACAAAGAGTCAGTGCTGACTTGATATCACATAACCAATAAATCAATTTCCCTTTCAAAATCATCCCTTGATTTCAAAATAGCAGTAAATGTGTGGATGTTTCCGTGTTTTGTCATACTCTTTAGAGACATCTTCATTGAATTCTAATTTAGAATTGCTTATCAAATAAATATGGAAATATATCAACACTCAATATTTGCTTGACTTCCCCATGTATAATGAAATATCTGCCATGAACCTTATGGTAGCAATGGGAAAGTCGTCTTTTGCGCATAACCTACCTAATACAATTGGGATAAAAATAAAATTGCTAAATTTCTAGGCACACAGTATTAGCCTCTGAATAAAACGTATCACACAAATACATCAGAGTATTCAAAAGTATGTTAGAATATAGAAGACTCTCCTCAACTGTTATGTAGCTATAATTTGAAAGAAATTTACAAATCACAAGAATCATGTTCTAATAATATGCTTCTATTTAATAATAATATGCTTCTATTTGCAATAATATTCTACCTAGCATTTTATGGTTCACTCAAGATGATCTCATTTAATTTTAAATGGGGGGGAGGGAGAGATGTCTTGATTTCTGGGACTATTGCAAAATCTGTTTATTCCTTGTGTATTTTAGCACTAGAATGGGATAAATTTTCCCATTTTCACAGAACTGAATAAAAATAGAGTAGACTGAAACTGTTGTGCATTACTTACCGCAGAAAGATATAGCCATGTTGGTCTTATTAGAAAGTAAAGGAGAAAGTATCCATATTTGTGAGTGGTGATACTCTATTACACATCAAAGGCATAAATAGAACAGAATTCCATTAATATATTGGGTCCTTCCCACTTCTCATTACTTTTTCTGTAGTTATCTGAAATTCTGCTGCTGGGAGTCTACAGAATTCTTTAGCTAGCTATGGCATAAGCAAGCAGGCAACAACAGATGTGAGGAGAATTAAAGTCATCTCAACCCTTTCACACTATATATGAAGTTTTGGTTACTCTAATTCCTCTGGGATCACACAAAATAATTACAAGAACAATTTACTGTGCTAAATGCTACAGAAATCCATGTTGTCTGCAAAACAAAACAAAACAGAAAGTGCAAATCTTCTTCCAAATTGCATGCAGCAAGCAAGCAACGAGGCATTTTGTCCACTACGTATGAGTGCCCTGTAAAGGCCTCAAAAGAAACACCAGGTCTGGACAAGAACACAGCCTTTTTCCAGTTAACGGATGTTTGAAGTACTCACCCACTGTATTCTCCTGCAAGGACTGCGTATTAGTGTGGACACAAAAGGACAACACAAACAGCAGGAACATCTCTTGGTGGCAAAGATATCTGCATCGAGAAGACTCAGCAGGATGCATTGAAGAAGTCTATTTCTTATAATTCTAGCAGGTAGCTTCAGGCTCTGCTATTTTGAAGCAAAGTGTACATACGGAGAGAAAGTCTTGTGGACACTGGGGTTTTATCAGAGGAAGAGGCCAAGATGATAATAGCCTCCACTGTAGCCTTGACCTGCCCACAACAGCAATGCTTTTCAGAGACAAGGGGGGGTATTTTTCTCCCCAGAGTCATTCATTTTGTTTGCAAAGCCATCCTCCAATTGTTTGCTTGCAATGTGCCCTGTAGTGACCTATCTGCTATCTTATCCAGAAGGACAACTAAGGAAGAGACACACAGACATCCTGTTGAGATGGGGGAAGATGGTGGCCTTTATCTATCTTTTCTGCTTCTATGACTAAGAAAAGCAACTCTGAAATTGAAGAACAACAGAGAACAATACTTCACTCCTGGTTTTGCTAAAATGGAGGGAAACATTTTGGGGTGGAGGAAACCCTGTGAAGCCTTCTCCAAATCTGGTGTTCTCCAAATGTGTGAAACTACAGCTGCCAATTCTGTCACCAGCTGGCTATAGTCTGATATGGCTGGCTGATACCATCCAAGCAAAATGAATAAACTAAAGGCATTTCCTACCATTATAAAGGTAACCTACTTCCGGTGTGTTGGTGTAGAACTTCTGAGCAAGGAATTCAAGGATGAGCCATCAGCAATTTTAGGCTGGAGCACAGGGAACTCAGACTTCGGAGGTTGTTTTTTCCTGCCCCACCCCTTTGTCCTTGCTCCTTTGTTATGATGGATTGACATTATCTGTAGCTGGTGATTTTGCCTGCTGTTGCAAATCCCATAAACATCGATTGTCAGTCAAAGTCAAAGGTTGCTGGTTTCCTTGGGCCTACTGAACCAAGTAATACTTCTACTCCAAGGAACATTATTCAAGAATTTCAACCCCTTCTTTCTTGCCCATCTAAGAAACATTTATTTGCAAATTTAAAACAAAATTTTAATCAACCCATCACTACATTGAATACTGAAATAGAGCATTGCAAGCAAGAGAAACATAATACAGAATAAGATACAGCAATATACATTTCAGACATTCAGCTGGCCACAATAATAAATGTCTAGTGGTATTAGAGAAGGAACCAGATGGATCTTCTGTGTTAGGCCTTGGAAAACAAGCAAAAAACTATCCTAAAGGTGGTTTTTCATGAGGCAACTGGACTTTCTTGTTTTTCTTTGAAGATGTTTTGTCTCTCATCCAAGAAGCTTCTTCAGCTCTGACTGGATGGTGGGGAATGGAAGGATTTATATTCCTTGCTGAGAGCTAGTCATTTGCCTTCTTTTAGAGAGTCGTTGAGACCACTTGGAGGTTTATCTGTGTCATCAGAGTCACATGAGTAGTGCAAAAGGGTGTGGAGCTTTCTTGGAACTGCTGAAAGGACTGTGTTGTTGACTGGACATAGATTGCCTAAATTGTATTTTTTAACTTTCCCAATCTGTCACCAAAGGGTCTAAGTCTACTAGCAGTGGCCAACTCGCCACAGCTCACTTGCCACAATCAATCACCACAAGACGACTCACCATGGGACAATTCAACACTGCATTAATTGTTTCATTCAGGTCCATTTATTATCGGTGACCACATTTTTGTTGAATTATCGGTGACCACATTTTTGTTGAAATAAAAAAATTATTATTATTGGCCATGGTTCCATTGAAATTAATTTAACTTTTGTATTTGTTGAATTGTCCCGCAACAAGTTGTCCCACAGTGAGTTGGTCACAGCGACTTGGCCATGGTGAAATGTCAGTGGTGAGTTGTCCCATTCTGGTCACCAAGCCATCTACATGTTTTGACTGCATTTCCCTTCCAAACCCACCCACCTCCTCTCCAAAAAGGTGCAATCTCTGCATGCCTTGTTATGGATCTTGACTCACCTGTAATTATTTGATTTAATAGAAGGCAAATCTCATAAATCTCTTTATGATTTAGCCCCACTTGGTTCTACCTAATGTAAGCAACTATAGTTCAGAAAGAAATCACATTTTCTTATTCTTTTAGAAAAACCCAGAAGCATCTTACTCAAGAATGGGTGAGTTGGGTGTTAGAAAGGAGTAGATGATGGAGGAGAGAATTAAGAGATTAAAGATGGGAAACAATCTGTCCCCAAAGATGTTGGGAAATAGTTCATCCCCCACAAATTTGAAAGGTCAAAAGGGTGAGCCAGATATCTTTTGAGTCAATCAAGGGGGGGAAAATGACTTATTTTGGTATATGATAGGTGGGAAATTGTGGCAAGCTGAAATCACTGAGCAGTGCTGAAAATGGTTAACCAACCCTAAAAATCATAGATTTCCCTCTGCGTGTAATTGGGTGATGGGGAAGAGGTGGAAAATGGCTGTGATAAAAACTGATAGGTAGCAAATGAATGAAAACGGATTTTTTTTTTTAAACTGCAGAACCCTTACAGAAAAATGGTAGGTTTTTCTGTAGATGAAGATAGAACAATACGGGAGAAGCAACTACAGAGCAAGAGCTGTTGTATTCTTTAGTTTTAAAATTACAAATGTCAGGTTTGAAATAGCAGCACCTATTAAGATTCTAGTGCTTGGTTTTCCTTTCCCTGCCCAGCATACATTGATAGCTCACATTATTCATTTTGAAACTAGGTTCAGCTCTCTGGTTTTCAGTGAGAAATGATTATAACAAAAAGATCAGTGACCTCTAGTTCAGGTTTGTCCTATTTTAAAGGCTGCAACAGAGAAGTAACGCCATCTCCCATTCTATGGTGGAAGAATGTTATGTGATTTCTGTTGAGTCCGTGGCGGGAAAACAGACACGAGAAGCAGCTGGAGTTCTCAGGTTTCTTTATTCAGCGTTCAGCTTACAGGTAGATGGCTTCTGGCACGCCCAAACACTTTGCAGCCTCTTATATAGGCAACTCCCGGGTAAAAGTGTTACTTTTCCCGCGCCAGCGCCCGTGCATGCGCACGGCGCTGGCGACAGCCTGTCTGGTCCCGGGCAGCTTTGCACCTGCCCGGGACTGCCTGCAAATGCCCGAGCCGTTTGCAAAGCTCGGGACATAACACCCCTTTCCCCCGGGCTAAAACTACTACCAACATACAACATTTATTTTATACAACATTTTGCTCCCCAGTGCTCCCACTGTTTACTGGCTTTTGCCTTGCCAGCAATGTTATGTAATCCTCTAAGTACTTAGGAGATTTCTTTGCTCTCTGTGACCTTCTCAGCTCTGGGTTACTAGCAGAAGTTCCCTGACTGAAGGGAGGTGTGAGCCTGTTCTCCTTATTGTGCCTTGGTGCCTTCCAAGGACTGTACCCCGATGCCTGGCCTGCTTGCTTGCCCACCGGGCTCGTCAGGCCAGGGCTTCTGTCACTATGTGACCTGGTTGACCTGCCTAGCTGTAGACCCTCGGGCCCCTTGAAGTGATAGCCGCTGCTGGGCGTCTCTGTAGAACCTCCTAGGTCAGTCCAAGACCTGTCAGGAGGCTGTCCATTCCCTGAACCTCGTTCTGTGTTTGGGCTTGTGTGGGTTTCTGTACTTTCCCAAAACTCAGGTGTTCCCTGATTTGTGCTAGAAGTGTTGTAGTCGGGACTTGGTTCCTCGACTATCTCTGTGTATGTTTGACCCCCTGTAGGATTTGGGGTAAGGTCAGGCCAACTTTGGGGATTGTATGCCAGCTCTCTTGCGGGGAATGATTTGTTGGGATGCTCCCGGGTTTCCTCCCTGGCTGGAGTGCTGTGTGATGTGTATGGAAAGTGAGTATGCCCCCGGGGTAACTCCCTGGCTGGAGTAGGCGTGAGTGCCTGTTGTGTGGGTAAGCTCCATGAATTCCTTTTCGGAGCAATTGCGGAACCCTGGGATGGGCCGTTTGTGGCTCCTTCAGTGGAGATGGGCAGTAGCTCTTGCCCTTCCCTTTGCTCCAAAGGGTCCCCCTCCCCCCCCTGGAAAAGACCCAGGAGTCTCAGTTGGAAGATGCCGCCTAGGGCGGAGTTGATCAATGTGCCTGCGCAGGACACGACCGTTGTCCAAGGCTACCTCGTAGGATAGAGGACCAGTGACCCTGGAAACAGAAGCGGGGACCCATGTATGACCAGGCCCGTAATTGCGAGTCCAGACCGGGGCACCCACAAGTAATTGTCTCGGTGCCCTAGGATGTGAGGTAGATGGAGGCAATCTGTCAGGATGCAACCGGTCAAGCTTAGTAGTAAGTTGACGCCCCCAACGAAGTTCAGCTGGACTTCTCCCTGTAGAAGTGGACGGTGTGGTGCGATAAGAAAGGAGAAAGTCAGCCAACCTGTGATGCCAGTCCCCGTAGGTGAGTCTCTTCAAGGCATCCTTTGTGATGCGCACCATACGTTCAGCCATACCGTTGGTGGATGGGTGAAAAGGTGCAGATGTGGCATGACGAATCAGGTTTGCCTGCAAAAAAGCTTGGAATTCGGAGGAAGTGAATTGAGGGCCGTTGTCGGACACAATGACATCTGGCAGCCCGTGTGCAGCAAAAATCCCCCTCAGTACCTGAATAGTCTTTGCAGTGGTGGTGGATGAGACAGGCACAACCTCAAGCCATTTTGAATGGCTGTCAACAAGGACCAAGAAGAACTGGCCCTGAAAGGGCCCAGCGTAGTCAATGTGCACCCTAGACCATGGGGATTGTGTTTCCTCCCATCTATGCACAGGAGCTTGGGGCATCTCTGGGCGAGATCGTTGGCACAGGTGGCATGCATGCACCTTAGCCTCAATATCTTTATCTAAAACAGGCCACTACAAGTGGCTGCGTGCAAGAGTCTTCATACGAACAATGCCAGGATGACCCTCGTGGGGGGAATCTAAGACCCTAGTCCTCATTGAGGTGGGAATGACAACTCTGTTTCCCCAAAGCAGACAACCCTGAGAAAGGGACAGCTCGTTTCTTTTGGACCAGAAACTCTGAAACTCAGGACTAGGGCAGTGCTCAGGCCAACCAGACAAAACCCAGGAACGGACACGTGAAAGTGTGTGATCTGTACCTGTTTCAGTGGCAACATCCCTGGCACTAAGAGGGAGCTTGGGCAAGGCTTGGATTGATAGAATGTTGACAGCTGGCGCAGGGTCAGCTTCTACTACTGGCAGAGGCAATCTACTGAGGCCATCAGCATGGCCCATTTCTTTTCCAGGCTTGTGGAGTAAGGAAAAATCATATGCAGACAAAAAAATAGACCACCTAAGCATTCTAGGGGAAATGATTTGGGGAGTCTGCTTACGTGTGGTAAACAGTCCCAGCAGAGGCTTATGGTCAGTGAAGACCGTGAAATGCCTGCCATATAGAAAGTCATGGAATTTTTTAATTCCAGCAACAACAGCCAGAGCCTCCCTGTCTATCTGAGCATAGTTGCGTTCAGCAGAAGACAGTGTTCTGGAGTAGTATGCAATAGGAACCTGAGTTCCATCAGACCTGAGGTGACTCAGGACAGCTCCAACCCCGTAGGGGGACGCATCACAAGCGATGCACACAGGAAGAGACTCGTTGAAATGTGCAAGAACACTGTTAGAAGTGAGCAAGGCCTTGACTTCTTTAAAGCAAGCCTCATGCGCTTGTGACCACTGCCACACAGCTTGTTTGTCTAGTAGCCTGTGAAGGGGCTCAGCTACACTAGCTTTATGTGGAAGA